GTCAAAGGCTTCATCCTTAGTTCTCATAAGGTAGACATAGGTGTATCTAGAAAAGTCATCTATAAAGGTTATGAAGTATCTCTTACCTCCTCTAGTTAATAAACCATTGATTTCACATATGTCAGAATGAATTAGTTATAGAAATTGAGAATTTCTCTCAACACTAGGGAAATGTTTCTTGGCCATTTTAGATTTTACACATATCTCACATTTTTCATTTGATTCATTACTATAAGCAATTATACCAAGTTTACTCATGTTCTTTATGGATTTAAAATTCAAGTATGCTAATCTATTATGCTATAAACAAAAAAAATCAACAATATAAGTAGAACATTTTCCTTCATTAATACTTAATTTAAACATATCATTACAACCATATCCCTTTTCAACAAACATCCCATTTTTGGATATGATTAGTTTGTTGGATTTAAAAACAACTTTGAATCCCCTCTTATAGACAAGATTTATTAAGACCAAGTTTTTTCTAATGTTAGGAACATGGAGAACATTCAAGAGAGTCAGTGTCTTTCCGGAGGTGTAGTTCAATTCTATGTTGCCTCTTTCAACAACTTTAGCACATGTTTGGTTTCCCATCTGTACCTCCTGGCCACCGGTCTCTTCTTCTTATGTCTTAAACATTGACTTGTCCTTGCAAACATGGACTGTGATGCCTAAATCAAACCACCATCCAGAAGACGATTTTGCCATACTGACTTCAGTAATCATAGCCACTAGATTGTCTTCCACCATGTTTGTAGATTTGGTTCCACCTTTCCGATGTTGGCAAACTCTGGTATAGTGCCCCTTCTTTCCACAAACATAGCATGATCCTTTCTTATTATTGCCCTTCTTGAAGTTCCCGTCATTCTTCTTTACTTGTAATGTAGGGTTAGTCTTCTTCGATCTATTTTCCACAAAATTAACCTTAGAGTTCAGCATACTGGCAGGGTTTTATCCCTATTGTCTCTAATCTGAGACTCTTCTTCAATCCAAAGGTGTTGCTGAATTTGCTCCAATGTAAGTTCTTTGGCCTTGTGTAGAAGCTTCTTCCTATAATCCTTCCAAGAAGGTGGGAGCTTGGCAATGATTGCTCCCACTTGGAAAGATTCAGGAAGGATGATATCAAATGATCGAATTTTGTTGACTATCACTTGTAGTTCATGAACTTGCTCCAATATGAGCTTATGGTCGTTTATGGTGAAGTCAAAGTATTCTGCAATAAGATACTTATTCGTACCTGCTTCTTGCACCTTGTATTTGAATTCTAGAGCCTTTCAAATTTCTTTTGGAGATGTAAGTTCCTTGTAGAAGTTGTAGAGACGGTCTGATAAGGCATTCAGTATGTGTCATCAGCACAGAAGTGAATCCTCTTATCGTTTTGCTCTTTCMTTCTTCAGTTTTTTYTRAGTCTTTGTTAGTGGGTTCAAGAAGTGATTGCAGATTTAGATCCAAGAGATAGTACAGTTTTAGAGTGTTCAGAAAGAAGATTATCTTGTCTTGCCACCGGCTGAAGTTTGTTCCATCGAACTGGTCCAGTCAAACAAGATTTTGGTTCATCATCTTGATTGAAGAATAATGTTCTAAAATTGTTGGGAAATGGGGTCACTGAAACTTGGAGGAGAAACTCTGAGGCGCATCTAAAGACACTGTCTTTAGAACGTTATTTGCCCCCACTCAGTTTTCACTGAGTTTGTTGTTGGGTTACAGGCAAATCCATTCMCAGGATACAACAGAGCCTTAGGCGAGAATCTGCAACCAGTAAAGTTGAAGAGTCTCCGAAGAAACCTTTTGTGAGATTGTAGTAGACCG